ATTGAATCAAGTACGCCTAGAGGATTTTTGTCACCCGATATTTGTAGGCCTTTCAAAAGTCTAGCTTCAATTGTATCGATTCTATCGAGCTTGGCATAGGCAGCACGGGCATCCTTGCTTTCTGCATAGATTCGTCTAACCTCCGCCAATTCATTATCCTTTTCCGGCCGTGGTTTCAAAATCAGTTCAATCGCTTCATGCCATTTACCTAATAAAAGAGTGCAATATACATAAATTACATAAAAATATAAAAAACAACTGAGCAACTAAAGCCTTAACAATTTAAGGTCTTTAGTGGCATAGATAGTATTTATTATCCTTAAATAATATTTCTGGTGCGAATTTATATACACATTCTGTCCTGCAATATAAATTCACATAAAAAAATATTTTTTAATATCTAGACTGTTAAGGCTTCAATTACGTTGTGTATTTATATTTGCGGTTTTAAGACACTTTGTTTAAACAAAAATGTTGTCTTATATAATAGAAAACAGTGATTACACACCCTGAAGTAGACATTTCCCGATTTCGTGTGTGGGTATAGTAGGTACTGATCCAAATCTTTGTAAACCGTAATAATTAATGAAGCCATTGACCTGCAACGACTTCATTATTTGCTCGATCTTTTCGTCTGTCTCACAGGCATTTCTCAGCGCTATCCTAAACTGATTACCACTCAGCATTCCTAATTTCAGGCTGTCTTTAGCGTATTTAAAATTTCCTACATACACACCGCGTATACTTTTACCAGCTCGCAATATGTTATGCGGTTCTACCTTTCTCAAACTAATCCACTGAGTCGTCCAGGCTCGGCGGTCTTTTGTGCCGGCGTAACAAAAGTTATTCGGCTTTGATCGTAAGCTTACGGCCAACTGGTTCACAACGCTTATTGTATCCATGTTTACTTTGTGCAATAGAAAATGACAGTAATCTCCTCCACATCTGCTCCAATCTATTCTCCTATCTTTGCGAATCTTGGGACCTATTATAACAATAAAAAATTATAAAGAAGTCTTTTTTTGTATAAGGAAATTACAACTTACCATTCGTATCATTTTTAGTATTCGGCACAATCGTGAGGAACTTTTTATCGCCCTTATCTACTGTCTGGCTGACGACATTCGCTAATTTCTTTGCAATTGTATGAATAGTCCTACGTTCAACTTTATCAATGTTAGTTACGTCGATTTCCACACTCGAAGGATTTTCCTTTCCCAAAGCTTGCAGCTGGTCCCATATTGTCGGTGACACCGATGCTTTCAGATCTTCGAGACTTTCGTCGTCACTGGGATTGCGCGGGATTTCTTGATGAGTCAGCTTGGCCACTTGTCCATCAAGATCTATCTCATTGACATGAAAGTCGTTGTACCTTTCTTTAATTATCGCAGAAAAGCCAAGGTGCTTGCTGATATATTCCGTAATTCCTATGTCAGATTCTTTCAGTCTACTGCCAACATCCAATTTGCTTCTCTTCACGTTTTCTCGTGGGGATCGGTCTAAGGTGCGTTTAAAGCTCCGTCTGCCAAGCTTGTTCTGATAACCGCCTTTGGAGAAACAATCGCCATTTAGATCAATTTCGATCAAAAACTCTGATTAACTTAATTAGGATTATTAAATAATATAAATAAAATTATTAAATTCAATAATGTGAATAAAACTATTAAATTAAAAAAGATTAATAACGACTATATAACTGTACTAAAAAATTTGTCTTAAGCGATTCTGCTGGTCGAAAAACTCCATAAACCATTAATTAAGTTAATGGGAGTTTGGTGGAAGTCACCCTTAACAATTGCAGCAGGAAATGTTTGTTATCAAAGATTATAAATGATATTATCCCACATCGACATGTTTAAATTTATTTTTAATTGTATTTATACTGTACTGAAGAAGACTGTGAGTTGTGAAACATTTATGAAATTATATTATTTATTTATTAATTAATTAAATTGTAATCTCTTAACACTTTGATTTACTCTTTTTGTCGTTATTAAGATTGTTTTGCAAATTGTCGAGCGTTACTACATCGTTTATTATAAATGATGTATCGTTTATTATTATAAACAATAACATAGCGTTATAAACGATAAATTACCTCTCCGCCTTGATCCACGGAAGTAGCGATTCTTGCTATTTTCGGCAGAACGTCCGTCTGTATTGGTGGACATCGCGATTCGGTGAACACAATAATAAGTGAGAAGATTGTTCACAATCCTTTTACAATATCAAGTGATATTAAGTCCAAAGGGTCAAACGGTCAGTTATTATGTTCGCCGCGAATGTCGGAAATTCTTCTTCTTTAAATAAATGGCATCTGTCTCCGAGAAAAATCGGAAGGAGGACAATACAGCCAAGACTAGTGGAACGTCAGTAATACGTCAATGTACAAATAATATAACAATACGATATACATACAAACATAACCACGTGCCACGCCGCCATGTTCTTTTTCTGACGTTGAACCGTACCGCCATCTCGCCAGGGTTTCTCGAGCGGCCGAATTAAAATCGATACTCGCGATATATCGATTTCAATCGCGCGGTCAACTTCAGCGACAGCGCGAAAATTTCTCCTGACAAAATGGAGTCCGGTTCCCGTCGAACTAGTCACGTATATTGTAGTATTTCGATACGAATGAAGTAAAATGGGTAAATATTTAAGATAAAATTATAAACTTTACTTTAATACATTGCATACAGCCATTTGTTTCTAAGTTTTACAAATTTATCTCGACAATATAACCTCAGTCACGCTTTTATATCTTCGATCCTGTCTTTGCGGATATTTTTGTCCGTTTTCCAATTCCGCTGCTATTTTCGTGTCCCTAAACATAAAAGAATATTAATTTCGAAAAGTATAGTCGAGAATCATAATTACGACTAAAACTTAGTGCGTTTTATTGGCGATGTTAAATGTTTGGAATGTATAATTGGCCAATATAGTGGGTTAATATTTGGCCAATATTGTGCCAATAATTGTGCTACTAGAGAAATTCATATAAAGAAGAAATTCATATAAAGTCATACAGAATAGATTATTTCAGCAATATTATGTGGCAATATTGTAATATTCCAACAATATTGCAATCGTAAACAATTAATGTTCCTAAACCAATTAATGTTTCTGTATTATATGAAAGAATACATTTTATCTCAGTCGTCACATATCTAACTGATACATTTTATTTTCGAGGACGTCAAGAAGAAAGGATCATAGTCTATGCGGTAAAGAGAAACGATTTGTTCTGAACTGTCGAAGCGTGTAAATAAAGCACATAACAAATTCTCTTTTCGTTCAGGAAGGAAAAGAATGGATCCGTGAGAAACGAGCCAAGAGGTAGTCAACGCTGATTGTGCGTGAAAATGCCGGGAGAATAAGCATCGTTGTGTGGAAGACAACAATAAAATGTGAAAGCATGATAAAAGCGTGCGTGAAATGGAAGACAAGGTGGTGAAGGACCAGAATTGGGTCTAGACAAAAAGAAATCTCAAAATATTACGTATATCGTGTTTCTTTCGCGAGAAAATATTATGCAAAAACCAAAAAGAGATCAAAACATTCCATAATCGACACTAAACAAAATAATATAACATCAAAATCTTATAATTTCATATTCAACAATGTAATTGTTATGTAACTCCCCAGACAATATATACACATATTAAAAAACGAGATATACAACGTCTTAAAAATATCTAAAAGATATCTTTAAAACTTATGTCTCAATTTTAGATTTTGTATTATTTGGAATCATGTGTTATATATAATATATTTGTATTGTTAAGTACAAAAAAAATAGGTTTGTTTGCATTGCTTGCATTCAGAATTTTCGCTTCTTCTTTTCTCAACGCTTGAATACATATATTTATCCCATTTTAAGTTCAACATTTTTTGGGGATTTTAAGCAATGCGAATGAACCTTACATTGACGTTATGTTACTTTTAGGTTGTGTCGATTAGTATTTAGGCCCGGTCCACTAATGTAATTTATTAGATTTATTCCAATGTTCATTTTTACCAATGTAGTTTAATTTTAATCTTGGTTCGACTAACTCTTCATCTTTTTCTAGTTCTAAGAATTAGAGAAAGATGAAGAGTAAATTGAACCGAAATTAAAGTTAATCTACATTGATAGGAACAGGCATCAGAGAAAGATAATTAAACCGAGATTAAAATTAATCTTAGGCTGCTATTTCATTTGTGTGTGTTTGTCGTACGACAAATTTTTCAAGCCTGTTGATTGGCTACAAGATAGAGAGATCCAAGGAACCAGGAGAGACAAAGAAATCCTTGGATGTCTCTATTCTATAGTCAATCAACTTGAAAAATTTGTCGTATGACAAAAACGCACAAATAAAATAATAGAATTCAATCGTGAAACCGAAACATGTAATATGTATTTACTTTTGCCTATTAATTAATTACAGAGTATTATATTTTTATCGTAATTTTCGCGTTTTATAATTTTTAATTTGATTCTAATTATATTCCAGATAGCACAGAATATTTATGATAAATATTTATTAATATTCATTTTGTGAAATGTTATATAGATATTTCATACATATTTTATATATTTTTTTAAGTATTTTCATAGTATTTACTATAACATTCTCATAATAAATATTTCATAATATTTATAATAAATGTTTATGATCTGTGCAATCTAAAAGAGACCACAAAAATAATATATTTACAAAATATTTAAAATAAATCTTATAAATATTTATAAATATTTTTTGTAAATATTTTGTAAATAATGTGTGCTATCTGGGATGCCTATATTCTTTATATTGTTTTTGAAATAGCACCATTACATTAGTGGAATCGGGACTTAAGGATGATTTTACAGCCAAACAATGTAAAAAAAATCGCGAGGTGAGAAAGGAAAATTTTATTCGGGGCGACAGAAAGAATCTCCGAATAACGGTCCTGGGGTGGACGCACGCACCCTCGCGGAGCACGAAACGATCAGGTGGGCGAAGGGAGGTGGGAGAGGGAGGGCATACGCGCGCGGATTACTACGGGGGCGGAATGGTGGGGAAGGGAGGAAGGACGCGCCGTCAGTCCAACGCGAACCTCGGACGAGTGTGGGTCTCGCGCGCGCGCGTGCGTGCGTGTGATTTGCCGTCGCGTTTTGCATCAGTGGGCGTAATCGGCGCCCGTCGTTGCGACAATCGACGCTGTTAACTGTTTCTCACCCCGACTTCGCGTAGCTGACCGTCCGTTTCGCGTGGCAACCGCGAGAAAATCTCGCGGTGATAACCGCGGAGTGATAAAACCGTCATCGGGTGCCGCGCGTTACGTCGAGAAGCGTTCCTACCTCGCGCGACGATCCGCGATGCAGGCACGAGTGTCGCGAACTTAGCCGCGTATTACGCGATTACTGTGCGCCACGACTTAACGTGACGCAACGCGACGCGGGAAAAATCGGATGCGCGTGTCGACGAAGAGGAGCGGGGGTGCCGACGCGGGATGAGCGCGAGAGAAGTCACCCTCTACGGCGGGTCCCCGTGGGGCTTCCGCATGCACGGCGGCTGCGACACGCATCAACCCCTGCGCATCTCCAGGGTGAGTGAACGTCAACGATATGTCTGTCGCGCTCTCACGTGATCGCAGAATCGAAATAAATTGCATTGTTATTTTTGGAAGCTTACGACTTGAATGTATCTGCGCGTTCCCTCTCGCGGTCACGTGATCGCGCGAATTTTTTAAAATAAATACGATTATTTTAAGGATGTAGATTATATACAGAATCGATTTTCTATATATATATATATATATACATACATACATATATATATATATATATCTTGATAAAATTGAATTTACAAATAACGTTACATTATAATGACATGTCTATTTTATGAAACTATAATTATTGAACGAAATACGTCTAATCCCCATACATGATGCTAATTGTTATTTATGATAATTATTTGCTTGCTTTAAAGCAAGGTGCGCCAGTCCTGCAATTTATGCTCGATGCAATGCATGCAGAATGAAATAGTATACGTAATTATAATTACATTATATCTCGAATTTGAATATTTTATGAAGGCATATTGCTATAATCGTTAATTAACAAATATCGTATTACACATATATATAGCTCAATCCGCAATACCGATTCATCCGCATTATTAATGTCGACCAACTCGAATTTATTCGTTGGAATATTTCCACGTTTTGTCACGAAAACGTCACGAAACATAATCGACGAAAAAAAAATCAAGAATAATAAAAGGCTCTAAAGAATATAAATCACCAAAGTACAAATTAGAGCCAATACTAAGTGTGTGAATTCAAATTCTTTATTAAATAACAAATTAATTAGACGTTTCGAATTCGATCCTTCGCTTTTAGGTTCTCTTCAATAATTACGAGACTCTCATTTGGTTGAATCGATTAATTTCTTATTTATGGGTAAACAAATTTTGATGCAATAAAATAATTTAGTTGAAGCAAAAAATTTATATTATCAAAAACAAATAAAACGTTACAGTAACCAAACTTTTTGCTTCAACTAAATTATTTTATTGCCAAATTAAGGATTTGTCTTTCCATATCCAAATAAGAGATTAGTTGATTCAACCAAATAGGATTCTCAGTGTATAAAAATGAAATATATTTGATGACTGAAATTATTACATGGAAATTAAAATGAATATCGCAGTCAAGTACATTAAAATAGAGTAAGTCACGCTGAGTTTCATAAGACGCGAGTGTGTCAACATTGATAAATTTCTTGAAAAATGAACTGGTAGTGGAATCTCGTCAATTATTAATCCGTGTTATATCGCATCCGTAGTTTCATTTTAATGTGAGCAGTTTAACATTTTCTTTAACGAATCGCAAAAAAGAAATGAGAGAAGAGCACGAAATGGGAGACAAAGGTACGAGAACGAGCTTCTGCTCGTTATTATCCAATTTTAGTCGCATCTTGGGGTTAACCGTTTATCACCGTAAGCGGTGAAACGAGATAATCGCGCGAGTGGAAAAAGTTGCATCGATCTGCCCCGCGTTGTGCGGTATACTTTTATCACTGAACACGCCACCGTAATTTTCCTTGCGACCACTGTAAATCCGTACCCACTTTCGTATCAACTCCATCATTCTATAGACGACTCTTCGAGTTTACGAGAACGGAATCCGTCCTTATATTTCTCATTTTTTTTACAAAGATACTTATGATGGTATTACGTATTCAGGACGAAACGTTGCGCAATTTTCCAACTCACCGCCGTAATTTTCTTTGCAATCATTGTAAATCTGTGTTTACTTTACGTGTATGTAGACTATTCTACGCGGAAAAAATTATGTCGTATTAACAGCATTAATCAACAGCAGTTTAAAAATAACTTCGTTTATTTAACAACAGTATTATTAACATTAAAAGTATCAATATTTCTTGCTTGCTAAAAAGCCCAAGTTAATAAATTAATATGGAAATGAAAATAATGAAAAACTAAATATATTTTATCAGTATAATGGACACGTATTTTTATTACTGTTATTGAATTAACAAGATTATTTTTAATTAATAAGACTGCTGTCAGTTATGCTATTAATACAATATTACTTTTTCTCTGTATAGACAATTCTTTTAGTTTATGAGAATAGAAATTTTTTACATTTTTGTTTATAAAGATGTAAAATAATTTATAAAAAATTTATAACTTATAACATATAATATTCGAGATGGTGCGTTGTACAATTTTCAAATGCACGATTAGAAAATACATGCAAAATAAACGTGATAGCTTCCTGTTTATCCGACATAAATTAAGATGAGATCGATAATCTATTCAACACGTCTAAGTATTATACGTAATACAAGATGATGCGTAATCACGGAATTCTGAAATACGGTCGGCTAGTTAGATTTTAGATAGTTTAATGAAGCTACGGCGAAGGTCAGCGACAAGAGAGAGCCTTGACTTTTTTGCCTCGTTCTACCTGTCATCACGTATCTTCATGATACCAGCGAATTTCGTTCTATTCGAGTAATTTTTTGCTCTTTCGCGTTAACCACATGTCTAATGTCGATTATACAAAATGGCCACACAATTAGAAATTAGGGAAACATTAAGGAATTTTGTAAAATTTTCTGGGAAATGAAAATTCTCGATTTTAAAGATGTTTAATATATGTACATTACACAGTTTTGGAATACTACCAACTTAATACTTGCATGCAAGCAGTGTCACCAACATTAACCCTTCATGGTCACACTTCTAAAAAGCCACACGATGGTTACTCTGAATTAAAATAACCCGATCTTTAAAGTGTTACCAAATCGACAGTATTAATTTCATCCTTTAAGAAAATGGAACAGTGGCATTTTTGTGAAAAATTTAATTTTAACACTAAAACAAAAATCGTAAACATGTATTAGAATTTAGCGTGAAAGTTACATATACATCGTCTTTCACGCTAAATTTTAATACATGTTTACGATTTTTTTAGTGTTAAAATTAAATTTTTCACAAAATGCTCGGGTCATTTTGACCCAGTGTGACCATGAAGGGTTAATACACTGAGAAAAATAGTTTGATTGAAAATGGACAAATTACAAAATTCTGATTAAATCAATCAGAACTCCGGTTATCTCAACTAGAATTTTAGTAGATTTAACCAGAAAATTTTCTGATTAAATTAATTAGAAAATTTTCTGGCTAATTCTACTAAAATTCCAGTTGAGATAATCGGAATTCTGATTGATTTAATCAAAATCTTCTGGTTTGTTCATTTTCCACCAAATCCTTTTTCTCTGTGCAATAATTTACGTTGCTATGTTAAATTTCTACAAAATATTTGTTGTTCTGTAGTTTCCAAATCAGGAAAATACTCGGATGAAAATTTCAAAATATTATTGAAAGCATCAGAGAAAATCATGAAATTTTGTCTGGAAACGTTACAGAATTTTAGGACGAAGAATTTGTGACAATTCTGTTATGAAGATAACGCGAATTAGAGCGACCGTGAGGTAGTTTCGCGTTAATTCTGGTACGCAGAACAGTGTTAATAAAATCGAATATCATTTTCTAAAATTTTCCGCTGTTAAAATTGATGCAGTTGACAAATGTCGAACATCTCTGATCCACGTTCTCGGAAGCATTCATGATCCTAAAGCTGACGTTCTTGGAATTGCTATTATAATTCCGTTCCGTCTGTCTTTCTATTTAGGGATTGAGATTCGATACATAGCATGCTACGTATATTTACAAGTTGGTAGTCAGCAGTATTTCTGTCTAATCAAACTTCGATTCTGTCACGTTGCAAGTCACGTGTCGTGCTTGCAAAACCGCGATAGAAAATTTTTTCGGTGTCAGTTTCGAGGACATTTCCCACGTGCGACTCTCGTCCGCTATTGCTACGCGACACGCGACCTTTTATTATGTAACATAGGTGATGTTGTGACGCGGCAAATGATTCATAAACGCTACAAGCGCGCAAATTGCGGCGCATACCGTGAAATAGGACTTTGTTTAAATTGTGTATCATGCGCGTGACGCGAATATAATATTTACAACGCTAACGCGCGATAAGAGCGTTTCAAGCTCTGGATGTGGAAATATTATTCTTTCCCGGCCAACGTGGATTAAAGATCGCACTGAAATTGCGACAGTTCACGGTTTTTGGCACGGCACAAAGCATGTCTATCATCGGCTTTTCCACAGTTTCTTCTGATAACGATAGTTTACTCACAGACCGAATATTTTAAGACATATTTACGATATTCTTAGATAGAACAAAATCGTAATAAAATCAAGATAACATCAAGTAGAAGTTATTTTAAGAAAAATTATAGTGATGTCATTTGATATATATTTGACGATGATTTGGTGATGAATTTTTTGATAATGACTTTTAAGCAATTTTTTTTAATTAATAAGTCATTATGGTTTTTCCTAAAATAATTTCTACTTAATGTTATTTTGCTCTTATTAGAATTTTGTGTTCTGCTTAAGTTTAACATTCGGCTAAATTATGTGTTTAGATCAATTCGTTCGAGCGGTTTCGTGTTTAAATCACTAAAGAAAACATTTGCTTCATAAACGAATACGAGAAGAGAATGTACAAATTTACAAAATATTTAAGGAAAAATTTATTTGTTACATACATTTATTTATTTACATACAAATTATATACATTGTTACACTATCGAGCAATCTCGAATTTGTTGCCACTGAAAGCACTCGAGTCGAAGATTACAGACACCGCTGTGTGTACACAGCTTAAATTCAAGGCTTAGTTATACTCGATCAGTTAATGTTGCTCGACGAAGAGGTACAACGATGTTCTTTCACATACAGCTTGTCCAAGCACTTATCAGTGCCGTCTGTGCAGAAAATTATCCTCTCTTGAATGAGCAGCACGTGTTCGGCATTAACGTTTCGTTATATATATATATTTCATATCACGTCGAGTGTTCACGGGATATGTGTCGTATATATACTGGCGAATTAAAGAAGAGTCGATTTAGGTATCTTAAGAATGAATGATCCGCAGTTATTTGGATTTAGCAGAGACCCGAGTTCAATATACTCCGATCACGTACATTTATA